CGATTTTCTCAGTTTTCCTACGTTTTTCCCTGTTTTTCACATTTGCTGGGTAAACTCTTAGAAAAATCGAAAAATGATCCCTTTAAAGTAACTAGCTAGTGAAATTTAATTTTAAAAACATTGCCATTATTAAAATTTGGAACAAAATTGCTTATAAAATGTCGTACACAAAAAAAAGAAGGCTGCAATATATTTTAACTATAATACCTACATTTCTTAAATTTTCCCGTTTTTCCTCCATTTATTTTTTGGTTTTGTAAATTTGATGAGAAAACCCATAATGTACACGATTTTTTTATAGATATTTAACAAAACTTCTCCACAAGAAAATTGTTTGTTACTGAATACTGATTTCCCTTCTCCATACATATGCTGACGTACACATCTCTGTTTTCAGGCATGAAATATTACTGACTATAATTAATTTAATTTGATCCAATTCCGTTACGATTACAATTAATTAATTAAATTATAAACTACGACTACCTTAATTTGTTCAGTGTCGTACATTTTTTTTTTCTACATATTTACGATATTCTATAGTTTGTTTTGATTTCGTGTCGGTTGAATAGTTTTGCGTATAATATTCATAATACCATTCGTTTCGCTCTAGATGTGGTATCTTCGTTTCAAGTTTCATAATATTTAACCGTTTTCGTTTAGTAAAATATTTTCTATACGTTTATATTTTATGTATATATATATATTATTTATATTATACGGGTAGAATTATTTGTTGTGATTTATTGCGCTCCAAAAACTCCCTTGTACAGTGAACACATACAAATACACCTAAAATTTTTCATATGAAAAAATAAATTCGAAAACGCGAAATACGCTGTACATTAAACCTGTGTATTATAATCGTGCAGGCTAAAAACAATCCAAAATGTATGAGTTATATATTTTGCGACTGTGCGATGGCATGTCCAGTACGCAGACGTCAAGCATGTCATGCCTTTAACCAGTTGAACCTATGCACGTCATTTTATTTTATTTATTTTATAAAACCCTTATACAAAATAATAAATAACATGTGAAATTGTTTATTAATTTACAATTTATCAAAAGTATCACTATCAACTGAACTGCACTCAGTATTGTATTTTCGTCAGCAATGGTTTATCGTTGCTTACGGATACACATTAGATTACCTATAACAGCGGCTGCGCCTGTTTTCATTAACCTAAGGCGTATTTTTAACTAATATACCTACATTTCGTATATTTTCAGTTTTTCCGATATTTTATTCCGGTTTTTCCCAGATGTTATGAAAACTACTTGAAAAATCAAAAAATTACCTCTTTAAAAGTACCACACCAAGAATATTTTCTTATAGAAAAGAGTCTGTATTGTATACATCGGAGCAAGATTTTTGATAGAATTTGTGTACACAGTATATATATATAAAAAAAAAATAAACTTTTCGTAAAACCAATACATTCTTTGCTACACTCACAATCTAAAAACGAGTCTCTTTCAGCCACTTTAACATATTATCCGGTTCTTTTTACAATATTAAATTAGTTAAGTTAAAGCTAAGATTGTTTAGGTAGAAAAAAAGAAAATAATATTACAGTGAAAATAAATTTCGTAACGTAGAGAACATTTAAGGGAACATTGCCTGAGTTGATTTATAAGATTTTTATAATATACCTACTGCTACGAATGTACAACGATAAATATTATTAAGCTTGAACGTTATAGTATACGTTTTCTCAAAAGTAAATCCAGCAACTTTATAAAATAGTATACAAGAAAAAACAAATTTAAATGTTTTAACTTTTGAATTATTAAAATAATAAATTACGTTCCGAATTAAAATAATTAGATTAGATTTTATTAAAATGGATGCATCATTTATTTTTATTTTTTCAGAAAAACGCTTGAAGAACAAAATATGATAAGCAGTGATAATACAAAGCAAATTAAAGACTGTAAAATATATTTATACACTTTTTTCTACATACACTCCACATATTAAATGTATTAATTTATATTATTTGGCTATATTGAAAGATATACCTAATTTATCAATATTAGAAAATTAATTAATTTTTTCATGTTATTCGAAGAAACAGCTTTTCACCGATCGTTATTATTATGCGTTGACCACAGAACTTACGTAAATACCTATACTATAATTTATTAGGTATATTAAGAAGTTGTATAAAGATACATTTCAAAAAATCTAGATAAGGATAAGAGATAATTGATAAAATAATAATCGAGATGAAGATAATAGTAAAATAGTTACATTACATTTTAATTATCAAGATAGATAAAGATAAATATTCAAAAACATTTTTCTAGATTCTAGGTAAACAAGAAAAAAATAACTTTGTTTTTTACATATTATAAAACAAAGTGTTATATGTGATATTAATGTATTGTGTGTTTATATGATTACATTATTTTAAATCATATTTATTCAGAGTTTGCTCAGAATCATACTTCGGTACCAATCGTCATCGTTGCGTATGGATATAATTTAAAAATTTGTATGTATTTTTTCTTCACAACTTTCCAAATACAAAAGTGGCACATCTCTCAGCAGTATCAGTTCTTTCATTTTGTTATACTACCGTGTACTGCACCATAAAAACGACAAAACCATTATCGGGTGACACTATACGTAGGTATAATAATCTTGAACGGACGGAATAGTCGTAAGTACCTATATGTAGCAAAAAAGTTCAAATTTTTATTTTTATTTTTTTTTTTTTTTGAGGAATTTTAAAGTGAATAGAGACGGTTTATATATATATACGTATATATAAACTTTCGTATAAAACTATTATAGACTATGGAAGTACAGAATGTAGCCCAGGGGCGCTATTTTCCGCGGTAAAAACCCATGTCCCTTGCGAATACCAACTTATATATATATATATATATATATATTACACACACACACACACACACACACACACACACACACACACACACACGACACTACGCATAACCGAAACCGCTGGATCGAGAGAACCGAGGTAATTTCGGAAACGAAGGATTTTATATTGTATTACTATATTGTACTCGGGGGTTACCACTGTTACCAGACCTCTGAAACCGTAACATGTATACCACACTGCATATTATATTAGTCTTATTCTCTAGCGCCGACACAAAAGCGGTCGCAATTCCGCTATATACACATAACCTCTCAGTCGAGTATATAATAATATACAGTTGAATTGTTACGCGATCGTATTGGTATATATAATTTATATATTATACATGTATAGTTGCGATATTGCATATACACGGCAAATACTGTAATATACAGAGTGGGAAAAAACTTTAATCCTCGTTTTCACGTCTTTGTTATGCCTATGATGTGTGATCGCACTTTTAACGTTTGTCCATTTGGACACTGCAAACTTCCTTCAAAATCCTAATTGATGATGTTTTATTACAAAAACGTTTAGATTTTAAGTATATCTACGTCCTACATATATTGTTAGATTTACTAAGCACCGAAATTAGTGAATTTGCTGTAGTTGTATGTTATCAATTTGTATACAATATACAATAATGACAGTTTACATAAAATAACCATGCGCGCGGTGATAATATTTTTTTTTTTGTTTGAACTTTTTTAGATTTAGAGCGGAGGTGAGTAAGTAAGTTGTTTTTTGAAGTTTTCAGGCAGTTTTCATAAAAATTAAGAAAAACCGGAAAAAGACGAAAAACAAAAACTGATAAATTTACTACATTGTGATTCTATTGTTTGAAATGTTTACAAAAACTTAGCGAAACCTATGAACTTCACTCAGAAACGATTTTCGTTAGCAATCGTTTATCATTATAGCTTATAGATACCAATTAAAAAAATGTACGAATTCTACCTTCCCAATTTTCCATCTACTACAGTGGAACACCATCAGTAGTAACAGCTCTTTTTTTTATTATAAAACCGTTTTGTTTTTATTTGCTGCATATATTACGAATAATAATTGTGAGAGGAAGCCGTACATTTTTCACCTAGTATATTATCTGTTACCGGATGCATGTAGATCTTTCTTTAGATAATATACAAGTTTTTTTTTTTTATTTTCAATATTAGTATGACGTCAATCGTGTTTTGTGTACTGACGTAAAATTCATCTAAAAATATTAAAATATTACATCGTCTCTTTTTAATTGCCTGTATTTTATTAATTTTTTTAATGAACATCAAGCATATATTTAATATCATTTTTAAAATATCTAATTAGAAACCATGTTTTATGGCAAGTCAAAATATCGTATGTTCGAAATATATACGTATTTATATATTACTTGTATATTATACTTGTGTGAATATATATTATATACACAGAATGATCAATCTATTGTGAAACACTTATTATCTCAAAAAGTATTAATTTTTTTTAGAGTTTGTTTTATAGAACATTTAAGAAGCTCTACAATTTGTATTTATATTATTTTTCGTCAACATTATTTTTTGGGGATAAAAGCCAATACTTACGTTTGATTTTAAAATGGTAACCTATATCAAAAATTCCATAAATAGATTGAGTTTAGTTAAAATACATTTTGATGTTGAAAGTTTATGATTTCCGTCAATGCATTGGTGAAATATTCCACTTTTAAGTCTTGGTCGGGGGAGAATAGTGGTACATTATTAAAAAGGTGCGTACCATGCTACTACACTATTGATCACTTTGTATAATATATGCCTACAGTCAGGGTTGGAACCTGCAAAATATGATGAAGGGGAATTCCATAAAGAATCCAAATCAAGATTATAATTTATAATGTATTATACGGTATAGTATAAAATATGTTTTAATGTTTTATACGAACAAAAAAATACCTACTACTCGTATGATAATAAATTGATAAGCATATATTAGAAATAAATATGTATTTATTGTATATGACAGCTGTCGTGCTATCACTACTTTACGAGAGTGGTAACTAGAGGGTTGTCCCAAAAGTAATACACAATTTGCTCTGAATAAATAAGTTTTTATTTTAAACTAAATACAATATTATAGACCTTCGATATAATCTCCCTGCTTGCCTATACACGATTGCCATCGTTTCGGGAGCGCTTGAATGCCGCATAGGACGCCATCTTTGTTGAGTTTACGGATCCTTCGGCTCACTTCTTCATTTAGTATATCTAAGTTGGGAAAACGGATCCCTCTAAGTGGTTCCTTCAGTTTTGGAAATAAATCAAAGTCCGGGGGACTTAAATCCGGCGAATACGGTGGGTGTTTGAGGCGTTCCCATCCATATTTCTCCAAAAGAGCNCGCAATTTTTTGGCAAGGAATGTTTTGTAGTAATCCCCGGTTACACTACTGCAAATTGGAACTCGATCAGTGACAATTATCCCAAGTTTATCGTAAGCAAAAATCATCATTTATTTCACCTTTGTTTGCTGGCAACGAACTTTTTTTGCTCTTGGTGATGTTATTCCCTTCCAAATATTGCTTTGAGATTTTAATTCGGGCTCAAAATCACGGATCCAAGTCTCATCTATTGCAATTATACGATCAAGAAACGTTTCTTTTTCATTTTCGTAGCGAGAAAGGAGTTCACGGCAGATGTCTTTGCGTGTATCGTATATCATATGTTTTTATATAGATGATTCTTTTTCTTTTGCTCGGCTTCAGATACTTTTTTCTTAAATTATCCCATTTACAAAATACTTAACTGCATATAATTTCATACTTTATGTGATTCTAATTACTATAAATGATTTAATTACTATAATTAATAAACAAAAACAGTTGTTAATCTATAATGTTGTCATAACTTTTACACTTGTATGTAGGTACCTAATATAAATTATTCTTTAACTATTTTAAATCTTTTCTTATTACTTGACACATACGCATTAGAAATAAAATCATTGTGTAATAAGCATCTTGAATAATATTTCTAATATAGTTATTGTAGGTACTACCATTACATATCTAATGAAGTGAAGGAGGTAGATAAATATGTTCTAGTTAATTGTTCATCAGAATTACGTAGAAACATCAAATAAATGGAGAAATATATAAAATAATGATTACGGGTAGTGATGACTCCGTATACCCTACTTCCTACCAGCCCTGTTAGTCTAGTGTAGCAAAGAAGCTATTATAGTTTTACTATATTAGTTTTATTTGTTCAGAAAACACTTTTTAGATTCTAAGTGGAGCTTATGGTTTTACAAAAATATTTATTTATTTTTCTGTAGACTTGCTCCGATTTTTTACGTGTAGCACCTTTTTTGAAAGGAAATCGGTGTGGGGAGGTATTTTAAGGAGATCATTTTTTGATTTTCTCAGAGTTTTCTCAATAAATGTGAACAACAAATAAAAAAACATAGGAAAACTGGAAAAAACAAAGAAAAAACAGGAAAATACGTACATTAATCAAATATTATTGAAGATAATATATAATGACTATTTAATTATTTTACCATAATATGACAAATATATTGTCGACAAAGCATTAATATCAACTGAACTCAGCTCAGAATTGTTTTTTCGTTAGCAATGGTTAATCGTTGCCGATAGATATACATTAAATTATCTATAACAGTGGATGCACCCGTCCCCATTATCCTACGTATTTTTCTCGACCATATTATATTTATATCAAATTGTAAAAATAATAAAATTAATTTAAAAAAATAGAAAAAAATTAATCTATAGATCACGTAAATATAATATATATAAATACATTATAGACTGCCGATTTATTTTCTTCCTTTCTTTACTCAAATGTTGATTTATTTCATATCTGGACCATATAGAACCAAAGTAATTTCATTTATCAAATCCTCGTGGGACACCCTGTATAGAATAAAACAGAAACTCGGAATTAATTATTCTAATATTAATTTGTTTGTTTCTCGTAAATTTTGATGTATATATATTATATGTATATAATGTATATAATATATATTTCAAGTTACAGTTTGAAGTTTAAATTAAATTATTTTGAAAAAAAATATTCACAATGAATATTATTTTTATTTATATTTATTATTTATATTTTCAATATTTTATTTTATAGCTTCAAAATATCCAACTGATTAAAGCTAAACAAATCTAATTATGTTTTCTACATGAGATAAGTGTAACAAAAAATTTATTTAAAATATTTGAATTCAAAAATTCTAATTTCTAATAACGCCACGACATTACCATTTTTAGTTTTCAATTTGTGCGACTTATGTTTTCTACCAAAAATATTGCTCCAATCGAAAAATAACAATGCATCGATTTTGTTCCTTTTAACATATAACAACTGATATTGAAAGTGGTTTTTTGTTTTTTATTTTTTTTATGTAAAGAAAATATTTTTTAGAATATTTGAGAAACATCAAAAAAAAAAAAACGAAAAATACGATTTTCTTTTTTAAATTGCAGCACAGTTTCATTATTTAAAATTTGTGCGGCTTATCTTTTCGACAAAAAATATTGCTCTAATAGAAACGTGATAAGAGACCTCTTATGTTGAATTTTTAATCTAGTTAGTCAGTAAGTAGTTTGATTTTTGATTTTTTCGGTAGTTTTTAAAACAATTGAGCAAAACCCTGAAAATACATCGAGAGAACAGGAAAACTTAAAAAATTAGTTCTTTTATTATTTTAAATTTAGTTTTTTTAATGTAATTTAGTTAAAATTTTCGTAGAGAATTTAAATTTTGACAGATAACTTATATAAGCTTTTTCTATACGTAGTAAATCTTTCAAAGCATTTGAGCTATTTTTAAGCTATATATATAGACTTTTTATGTTTGACATTTTTTTACGCAGTTTTTATTTATTAGATATTTTTTAAATAATGGATATAATTATTTGACCAAAAATAAATGCTTGGACGTTTAACAAGAGATTCATTAAAAGTTGAACTTCGGGGTAAGAAAATTAAATAGACCGTAATGTAGTCATTTTGTTTTTTATTAAGAGTTTTAAAATAAAATGTTTACGAAAGTCGTAAATATTATGGCAAAACTATTAACCGAACTTCGCTCCGAATTTTTTTTCGTTACCAATGGTTTATCGTTGGTTACATTGGTTACAGATATAAATTAAATAACTACCCATCTTCCCAACTACCTATCTACAATAGTGGTCACACCCATCCACAGTATCAGCTCTTTTTATTTTATATAATATATTTATTGTTGTATGAACTTGAATAAAATATAGTGAGGAAGTTACCTATGGGTACCTACAGGGACTTAATTTACAAAATTTAAGTTAAATATAAATGATTAATACATCTATATGTATTAATCATTTAAAAATCTAAAGATAATTATCTTTAAAATTGAGTTACGTTATAATTTATAACGTTGTTCAATTTTACTTTTGAAAAAAATGTTTAGTTATATTCTGACTTTTGTCTATTAAAAAATATAGCAAAATATTAAAAGCTTCTTATGTATAATATTTGTTTGGATAATGTGTACTCAAAAATTTAATAGGTACGTGACCGAAGTTTCTATTTTCCTACCATTTTTCACAAACTTGCATTAAATTTAGACCGTAAACCCTATAACCACATTTATACTATAGTAATAACTACTAATAAGTATCTAAGACAAAGTGCTAATGTATTGAAAAATTGAGAGTCTAATTAATAGATTATGTACACGATGTTGCAGTTGCAGTTGCACTCATGAGGGTTCTTCTGAGGGAGTAAAAATGTCAATTTGTATTCATTTTAAACTTTAATATCGTACGCAGCCTATAGTTTTATATTTTTTTTAAAAAAGAGCTAATTGGGAGGGGAGGGGCCACTGTTATAGGTGAGAAGTTGGAAAGGTAGGATACATAAAGTTATTTCATTTATATCTGTAAGCAACGATAAACCATTGCTGACGAAAGACAATTCCGAGCGCAGTTTCGGTAATACATAATTTGAAGTGTCGTCATTTTTTATAACTTTACCTTCCTACGTTTTTTCCCGATTATTATGAAAACTTATTCGAAAAACGACCTGTATTACTAAAAACAAGATTAGTAATTCAACAAAAAAGGTCTTTTATTATTTTTCAATTGGCGCCATATTTGTGCTAAAAAACGTGGAAAGTACTTATTTGAAATAACGAAATCGTGAAAAAATCGTATTTTTTTCCCGGTTAATTGTTTTAATTTAAAATATCGGTTCGAAAATCAAAAAATGATCTATGTATTTACCAAATATATAAAATTGAATTTCAGAAAAAGTGCTACACATATAAATCGGAGCAAGTTTTCTAGGATAAAAGTGGTCAATAGTGTAAAAGTAAAGTACCATTGTAAACAATTTAAAAAAAGGAAAAAAATTCGTCCAATGATTTTGGCAGTTTTACCACGTCTAGGTAAGTCCTACATAAATATTTTTAATGAATTTCAAGTTTCTACGTGTTTATAATTAAATTATAGCAAAAAACTACTCCCAAAAATTAAAATTCCTTAAAAGCTCAAAAATGGCTCAAAAGTTTTGGCAATGATTTTTTAAGAAAGAAAACAAAAATGGTATTTTGTGATTTTTAATTAAATCATTTTTCCTAGTAGAAAACGTCGTCCGTGTTTTTATAAAATTATGAAATCGTGAAATTGTACTTTTTCTTACGTTTTTTCTCACTTAAGTGTTTTTATTTAAAAAATGGCGTCAAAAATCAAAAAAATGACTTATTTAAAATACAACCTAGACAACTTAAGCTTTCAGATAAGTTGATATGTGTAAAAATCGGATCAGTTTACTAGAAAAAACGTGTCCACAAGCTACAACAAAAAAAAAAAGAAAAAAAAAACAGCATTGTAAAGCCAAAAGCTCCCTTTTTACGTTCAATCTAAAAATTAAATTTTATATAGTTATATATTGACAGGAACAAAAAAAATTAAATTACAAAATTAACAAATTAATAGGCATTCACACACGTCAAATGAGAATTTTTATTTCGGGAAATCGAAGTATAAGTTATGCGTACGATAGGCATCTATAATATGATGTAGGATTGCGGTGGTCTGGTATATAGGTATTTAATGGAATTTTTCACGACACTTCGCGATTTTAATTAAAGTACTCACGCAGTCATCGTCTTTTAGAAGTTTAGAAATAAAAAAAAAAAAAATGAAAACTAACTTGTATGTATAATAATACATATTATTAATATTTATAACGATGAAACGTATTATTATTGTACGACCAACGGACGAGAGGGTTAGTGGGCCATTAGTTGTGATGATGATCTCTTACAGCTTTATTACTGTACATCGTAACATAACTTGAAATTTATTGCATGACACAGTGATTATTTTTTGCAACAGTTAAAAAAAAAAAAAAACCTTCTATTTGTAATCTTAAATAATATTCTCTACGTGAATTAAAAATAAAATTGTGACTTGTGGGGCCGTTTGACAAGAAAGAA